GTGAAATTAAGTTGGGATACACATTTTGATTCCGGTGATCAGTGTTTTTAGGGCTTGTCATAGCCAAGACAGTTGTGATATTGCACTATTTGAAATTAATTATATTCTATTATCATATAACATGAGAGTGCCCCCAAGAAGACACCCACCATAGATACAACGACGAGATTATGTTGTACAGGAGTGAGATTGACTGTCACAAGACTGAAGGATGGAGATGGCGTGGGCAGGGCTTCATCCAGCAGTGGATCGATCATGACTGATGATAGCGATGATTATATATTTCTTACAAAGGTGGCTTTTATCCAACAGCCAAAATATATTAAAATGTGCATTAAATTAAATCTATTGTCCATTTAATAAAATGATTATTTAATCCAGTGAAGTGGAATGGATTACATGTATACAACCACCTTCAAGGGCACCACAATCGTTGATGAGTTTTAGCAAACATAATTAAAGCACTCATGTGTGTGACTTGCAAGTTATATGCATGTCATAACTAATGTGATTGTGTTGGCGTTTAAAACAACATATGCATGAAATTGTATGCAATACAGTACACAAACAATTTTCTATCATGAGACCGTGGAGAGTGACATTTTCTATTATGGCTATTTCAGCTTAATTTATACAGCAGTGAGATAATCACATTTTCCAAATTATTTTGACAATGTAATGAATTGCTTTTATTTTACAGGAAAAACTCGACCTTAAACATACTTAGCATTAATTAAACACATGCATGTTTGCCAAGTGCTAAAATTACCCTTAGAATATGTAAAAGTGTATTGTTGATTGAAAATAATCGCAGACAATTATAGACTGTCCACTTGTCAAAGTACAATGTACAATTCTGTGGTCTGCATGCTAATCGTAGGTCAAAATAAATAGTATATACAAATTAACAGTACAAACAAGCATTGGCACAGCTACTACCTCTAATGATGAATCAGGAACACTAAACTGAACCATACAACAAATAAGGTAATGCCACCAATTTTAACAACTTTTTTGTGTTACTACTTGTTCTTTATAAGCGTGGACCCAAATGTTAACTTTATTTGTTTTGAAAGCCACACTGCACCTAACCTCCCCCTCCACCCCCCCATTCTTCTACCCCTCGCATGTTTATTTGAAATATATCTCAGCCAACCCTGTATAATCCCAACATTACGCTCTGTCGGTAAGGACATGTACGACCTGTAACATCGGATAGTTTGATTATTGTTATAATGTAACATACGTCGAATGTGAACATATATTTTTTTTCCAAGAGCAATACTACAAAAAGCACATGTTAAATACTGTAGCAAAAATGCACTCTTACACAAGAGCCAAGGAGACCACAGTGGTTTGCATATATCTTATGAATGGATCCTGTCAAAAAAATGTTGGTAATGCACACCAGAATACAAGCAGTGAGAAGTAAAGCAAGACAGAGTGGACGCTGGATTGATGGTGAAGGAAGATGTAGAAAAGGGGACTGCCAATACACCAAGCCATGACATTGGTAGGCAACAGGCTGCAGTGGAGGGACTTAATTCAGACCCATTGTCGCTAAGAAGCAGACAGATGGGACCTGAAGAAAACTAAAAACCTAACTTAAAACACATTTGTATTTACATTGAAACACATTTTCCACAAATCTTATCCTAAATGTGCTAACAGTATCGAGTCACGAGAAAAAAGTATGTACATTATTCGGATCTCTTAACAGTGCAACCCCTAATATGTTGAGTATGGCCCCGCAGAAGCAAATATCACAGAGCTACCTCTGAGAATGCTTCAAGTGACCTCTTTCCAACAAAGTTGGGGGCAGCACTTTCCCCACCCAATTTGTCATTGCCAGCAATATTTTTTTACATGACAATAAAACCAAATAACCAGACTTGGAATTGAACAAAATTGACTGCACGGCAAAATTTTCCGTGATTATTGTTTTTGTGCAGTCATTGGTGACTGGGCTGAGCCAATCAACTCATTACATTTAAGAACCTGATTTTAATGAACAGGCTTTTTTCTCCATTCAAATACAGAATCTCACTGTTGCCGGCTCAGCGCTTTGACCTCTGAGCCACCTAGCCACCTTATCTGTAATCACATTCTAACTGCTGATCTAAGATACCATTAATAAAGCACAGCTAGCAAGCCAATCCATTCAGGCAGCCTACAACGTGGATTTATAACGCGTATAAATGTACCTGCATCCCAAGACATTGAGATTTCAACGTACAAACGTGTTGCACAGAAACAACCAAAAGCACATGCACAAATGGATACAAATGTCAGGTTAACAGCTTAGACCCACACGCTCACATCCCAACACTGTAATGCACGGACACTACCAATTATTTTCAGGAGCTTATTCTTGAAATTCAAATGCCTGTTTGCAGGTCTTTCAGGGCTACTCTTGCCAAACATCTGCCCAAATCTGGGCATTTAGCATTGGTAAGTTGTGTTTTAGAAGGTGCAATAAAGCCAGACTGTAATGTCTAAAAACGACAACAGAAAACTTGGGACCGAATTAAATATGTACATTCACCATTTGCCATCTTGCATTGGCAGAATGAAACAAGATAAACACATTTAAAAACACATGCGCACTGTGAAACGGGAAAACAGTCTTCTTTGGTTCTTTAAAGTCACGTAGAATGAGAATAAAATAATATAATAACACAAAAAAATTCTCATGACGTTTCGGCCACAACACAAGTAGCCTTCTTCAGGTGAAAGAACAGAACTGTCGGGACGACAGAGCTTTTGCAGTCACGAAAGCTTTAAATCGGGAAAACACTGCTTTACGTATCGTACAAAAGCCAGTTTACTGGCACAAGCTCCTTCGTCAATGACATAATGGAGGATTTTCCAATGTGAATGTTTTTAAAAAGATGCAATTTATCAGGAGCTTAACCTGTGCCAACTTGTTTTTTACAATGCAATATTACACACCATGGTTTGCCACCAGACACAGGTCCATTTTACATGGAATCAATAAACTACAATGAAGGCGATAAAACGTCTTCATTGGTATGCAGTCGTTTTCATTAACGATGGAGATCCAACAGGAGTAGCTAAACTCTGAATATTAATGTTGGAACAAATAATTAAATTGCCAATGGTCTAAATACATTGCAATGTATAATAATCTTTTAATACACAGGAATATTGGTCAAGCAAAAGTTGTAAATATTTGTAACAATCCATAGCTTTTTTGCCATTTTTTTTGCAGTGGCTTATATTTCATTACTTTTAAATGTTGTCAGGATTTAACTGGTCATAAATTTTATTTAATTTTGGACGTTAATTAAAAGCATTGGACCTTGTAGGACGAGTGAAATTTTGCAACTTGTAATGTTTCATTATAATTATGCATTGCTTTTTAAAATCCACTGAAAAAAATTCTGGACAATGTGCCAGGTTTAAAGTCTTATCTTGTGATTGATGTATTCCAACGCTTTATTTAATGTAGGAATATTTGGATATAAACTAACTCATCTTATCTGCACTCACATGCCTTATGCCGTCTCAGAATGCATTGGAAAATAGAGGTTTTTCCAAAGGTTTGCATCATGATTTCGTACATTTTCTTACGTTATGACTGTAACCTATAAGTCAGCTTAACTCGTCGAAAAATGATATGACAGCAACCTGCAAATAGTGCAGATTTGTTTTTAAATGCTTCACATTTTATAAGTAGGGCTGGGCAATGAATCGGCACTCTGATAGTGTCAGCTCGAAGCTATAAATAGTCGCCGTGACATCTGTCCTGTTGGCAATGGCATGCAATGTAGCCGATAAATACATTGCCCTGCCTTCCTGGAAGACCAGTGCTGGAAACAAAATATAGCGGTATAGTGATCGTGACTGTTAATGTGTTGTTATTATTTTTTAACCAAACTTACAAATATACTGCTAATTGTTTCCACTCCTGGTACTTGTGGCCATCCATCTTTAAGCTATTTAAGATTATCTCATGTAAATTATTGGTTCTTTCGGTAAAGTCACGAAAGCTTTAAATCAAAACTTATCTCATGTGTTGGGCAGTGAGACTACAATGGCACTATAGTCAGAAAAATGTCACAATTCCTCTGCAATGTGATATGCTGAAAAAAAATGTCTTACCATCCAGCCCTAATTATAAATGCATACAACCGAAATACGGTACTGGCTTCAGAAGGAATCCATGGTTTTCCTGGTGATCCAGACAAATGAATTTGGAAGACTTGAATGAAGAACCGATTTAGGTTAGTATGAAGGATGTGCAAAAGATTGTGCATAGATCCAAGACATTGAAACATGCGGGTTACCTACTGACGGTATTGAAGTCAGATTACCCAGAATGTACACGACTGAAGAGAACCATCAACCACTGTTCATTTTATTTTTATGCAACTGTGAAAAATGTTTTGTAAATTAGCGTGCATGGGTGGATAATTATATAATCAAGCGGACGCCGATGAGAAAAAGCTTTGCACTAAGTGGTTATTCAGTAATAATGACACATTAATTTACACACCTGGTTTATCAATGTTTTACGAATCCATAATTGTGTTTTTGTTGTTTAATTACTCATTAATATTTCAGTAGCAGCGTCAAAATAGTATTGAATGTGTCATTTTAAATTAAGCTTTAAGTGTACTACAGACATCCACCTTGGTCTTACCATTTTATGAGATTTCTTTTGGTGCATCCACACATGCCATTTCATACAATTGAATTCAAATCACTGCTTCAGGAAGGATTTAAAGCACAACCATTCCCATGATACATGGTATACATTTTTTTGCCATCTCGGCACATGTTTTTTAAAAAGACGTGCCGATACACTAAAAGCCATTGATAGTTCAATACATATTCACAGTTGCATAAAATGTTTGAAAGAAAAATGAAAGATATTAATCCTGTTTTTAATTGAGAAGGTAAAAAAATGATTTATTGATAGGAAGATATCATCCATGCTGGTTTGAAATCCAAGTGCGATAAGCACGGTACAATACCTTCCAAAAGTCCTGGGACACGTGGGAGTTGAGTATGAGGGAACAAAATACAGTTATCCAGTTACCTGTTGGCTTAAGATCCACAAATTTCTCCAAATATTATCTTACAGCACTGAAAGGTGTTTAAGATTCATTTAAAAATTAGTTACTCTTAATTTGAAAATTACATATATTTGTAAGCCAATGAGGCATTGAGAAATTAGCAGTATTTACAAATAGACTGCTGACAATACTAACAGTTATGCTAATATACAGAATTCATTTGGTTCATTATTATAGATGTGTGTATACATTTGAATTTTACGAGGAACTTTGAGAATTCTTAATTTAAAAAAAAACTTTTATTATTTTAAAATGAATAAGAGAGTAAAATATAAAAACCACCAAAACTTGAACTGTTGTAACTATCAAATGTCTTACAACCTAGTTTTTGTCCAGAATAAATTTTCATTTTTGTTTTTGGGCCATGCCAATAGCACACCATGACCTACTCCCCCAAACGATGTCTGCCACTTAAAAATCTGTCACAAAAAGATATGCATTGGTATGAACATTACCAGACAATAGTAGGATTCAATCAAATTGGCTCAGTGGCAAGATGCATGAAATATAGATTATCTAAGCTGCCTAAATTGAATGTTAAGATTTACTATAAATGAAAATGCTATTTAATACATTTACACTATGCCAATGTTAAAAAAAACATTTCTCAACACATTATTCACAAAGTAAACAATCCTTTAGGGAAAAAGAGGGACAGTAAATTCCTGGTAAATTTGAGCAAAACTTTACTTAGTTACCGTGCCGAGTAAAATAAATTAAGATTTACATTAATGCAGGCATAGGACTTTAATTATAGAGATTGTTTGCGTGGTGTGACAATACAAAATATAAAATTTGGATACGACCAGATCTCTTGGAACTGTGTTTCCCTTTAATATTCGATCAGCAACCTTCTATTGTCTTGCAATCTTGACAATTGCTTTTAAAATCTAAAGATGAATTATTAAAACACTTTGAAAGTAAACAAAACCCTCATTTAAAACACTTTGAAAAGAAACAAAACACTCATTTAACATTTAATATTTATTTAAACCGATTACATGATACCTACAAATAAGATCTAGTAAATGGTTGAGTATTTAAGTGTAGTTCTAGTTAATTGATGCTAAGCTTCTTTTTAGAGCCAATTAAATTAACGGAGATGGTTTAGGAAAGCAATATCCGAGTGCTGGAGACCAGTCATTTTTGTTGGGATGAAGCCTTCAGCAAAATGTTTACAGCCATGCTGATGTGCACATTTTGTAAGCGCACGGCTTCTAATGCAGATTAAGCTTATAGCCATTAAAGCGCCTGCAGTAGCAACGTCAGAGAATTAGCGCAGCAATTAAAATTCAAGAATTAAATATTCATGCTTTTTTTATACAGAGCAATGGCGTTCCAATGTCAGTCTTACCTTTCCATCATAGCGCTTAACTATGAACTGATCCAAACCGAGATCTGAAATGAAAAACAGATGCAATTTTTTCTTGAGATTAAATTAACTGAACCAATCATTATTATATTGGAAAAACATTAAAACATAAATGTATCAGACTAACATAGTTTTTTTTATATAGGATTAATTATTTTCTCAACTGCGGATGTCACTCAAAATGGCTTAAATAATAAAAAAAACATCCAAAAGCCACTAGTGTTCTGAAACATTTTATCATATAAAATTCACCATTTATATAAAGCAAAAAAACATCAGGATGGAGTACATCAATATTTTCAATATAGCCCAGCATTATTATTATGCATATACTGTACTCATAATATATGACCTTAATCTATGGAACAAAATTGCATAATCTCATCATTTGCAATGATGCCACCTCCCCCCCCTAAGCGATTGCCATCTCTCATAGGCTTGAGGTGCAATAATACATCAAGCCCGTCCACTTCATTTCATCGCTCCATATCCCCGGTGAATGATCTCTCAGACATGTTCCCTCTTTCGACTGCTGCTCAGTCATTTGTCACAACCATCGACCATCATCCCGTTGAGTGCCATGTCCAAGCCTAATTTTACTTTTCCGAATAGTCAAGATGATGCCTGCGTGGGTCCTCTGATCCATGTTGATTTTTTATGTTAGCGTAATGTCAACCGTGCACCCATCTTCACTTCTTTGCACAGTTTTCATCTTTTGCTCCATTTTCCAATCATGTTGACTCCCTGCAGCCAATGCTTGAAAGTCACATTTCCTTTGTAATATGAAGTTGTATTGTCATATGGTAATGCACGTATTGTTTTGCTTCTTAAGGATGCCTCAAGTTTGGATCGGACCGCCTCAGGCCCGAATCTTTAGCGTCATATGTCTGCAATGTAACAAACTTTAGTGGTCGATCATTTTTAATTGAAATAGTTAATTTAGAACTTACAATTGAAAACAAAACATTGCTTTTGGATCAAATTACTTTTAGTTGAAGTAAAACATTCATCACTTTGGATGAAAGAATAACCGGGTCACTCCTCATTAATAAAATATCAGCCAGTTTCCCTATCGAGCATGTCCTGTGCTGACAGCAACAAGCAATTAGTATATAATTATATGATGCTCCCTTATTAATGATATCGTTGATTGACCGCTGTTTCACAGAATGCTCAGGATCAGTGGTGCAAAATGCAGACAAAGGTGCATTGTAAAGTTAGAATGTGCAGCTGGCTTTCACCAATAGCCATACAAACAAAAAGCAATTTGCTTGAAAGGATTCCCTCATTCTGCATATTAAAACACGTACATGTTTTAAATAAGAGGTGTAAAGGTGAAGCCCTGCAACAGCTTTCTCACGCCACTGCTAGCAGTAGCGCCTCCACGAGATCAGAATTGGAATCAGAATTTTTATCCTTGAGAAATCCGATGAGCTAAGAAGCTCTTTTTCACAGTTGTCCAGTACGGTTGGGTCTACTTTTCCCACTCACCAAATGTCTTTTAAAGGAGGTGGGAGTACTTAACACTTCATACCACCATGCACAACCTGTCAATCGATTAATTGTGGCACACCAATTCATACTGCTGGGTAAACAGAGGTGGTGGGGTAAGTTAAAAACTTGCACCATTATTTCAATTGCCATGCAACGACCAACCGGACCCATACCCTCTGCATTGCAAAGTCCAGTAACCCTTACGATTACACCACAACAGAGCCATGGCTAAATCATACTTGAAGTGTTTTAAGTATTATATTATAATTACTATTAGTTGGCCTGTTTTTTTAATACTTTTATGACAATATTACCATTCTAAAAAAAAAAATCCAGTTTTAAAATGTTAAGCTGCGCCTACATTTTTAAAATTAATTTGTACATATTCTTAGTTCTTTCGGTAAAGTCACGTTGAAGGGAAACAATAAAATTATAAAATATATAAAAAAACAATAAAAAATTCTCACGACGTTTCGACCATAACACAAACACCTGATGACGACCGTTTGTGTTATGGTCAAAACGTCGTGATAATTTTTTATTGTTTTATATATTTTATTTTATTGTTTCCCTTCAACGTGACTTTACCGAAAGAACTAAGAATATGAATTACTGCAGTCACGAAAGCTTTAAATCAAAATTTAATTTGTACATGTGATGTATTTTTATTTATTGATGGAATGGTATGCTCATGCAAACTTTCCAAGAGGAAACACAAAAAAGCATTAAAAGGTGTATGCTATTTTCTAAGTGCCAAAACATGTCCAAAATAATGGTTGCATTTATATTTTATAAATCAACTAGCTTTACTTCCGGGCTTCGCCCAGGACTTGGATTCACGACGCCCGGCCGCCTTTGGCTCCCCAGTGGCGATGTTCACACACCACACCAGTTACTCGTTTGAGGCTGAGTCGACCTAGGGGAGGCCCAGGACCGGTTCAAATAATTGTCACCGGTGGTGGCCGTGAGCGGGAATCGAACTCGGGTCGCCGGGTTCGTAGCGCGCTAAGCACTACGCATGCGCGGGTCACATGACAGATGTGACGTCACAGCTCACTTGCCGTGCATTATTGAGCCCCCCCCCCCCCCCCAAAAAAAAAAATATACCAAAGTCTATTTTTATCATTTTTGCATGGTGTACAGTCTGGAAAGTACCCACATGGCAAATTTCAAGTTTGTTGCATGTCGGGAAGTACTCCAACCATTTTGAACAGACACACAATCACAAATTTCCCTTTTATATATAGAGAGAAGATTATTATGAGCAGGTTGAGTATTTAAAATTCGTTCGAGATTACATATTTGTTTAAATTGCAAGCATTTAAGATAATTCAATGTTGTAATCCATACAAAAAATTGCACCAAGGTTAGGCCCTTGAAAAGTACAATTCCAAGCTAATTCAGTCAAAATCAGTCATGGGGGAAAAGCACTCTGGCATAACCATTCCCTTGGCTCAGATACCTGCTGTTTTGTGTTATATTCAGAAGCCAGAGAGAGCTTTCCGTATTTAAGGCATAGAATTTTAACTACATTGTTTTTCCTTCAGCGATGCAAATGAATTAATCCATGCATTAAGCTTTATAATTTCATAAAAACATTCATCCAACTTTAAATGCTAAAGCAACTCAATGCATTTTTTTATAAGACAAAACAAAGTATTGTTTATTTATAGTATATATAGTTACCTTTATATCTATTCCATTTACATGCTCCTGTTTTCAACATTACAAAACATAAAAATATAATTTCGTTTCATAGTCTAAATGTAACTGCATCTCAAGATGTCACAAACAGTGCAATTGTATGCATCACAGGGACAAAATGGAAGCGAGGGATTTACATTACTAAATTAAAAACGGTGATTCAAGCCACATTACAGACAGGAGAGGGTCATAGGCAGATGAGACTATCTTCACACTGGGAAATGCAGAGACCGCTCACAATTACAAGCGCATTTCAGACAGCAATTTTAGTACCCTCCACCGCTCACTGCTAAAACAAGATTATTGGCGTGACCTTAAAACAAACTGTAACGTTCTAATGACATTGTGCTGGTGGCAGCTCACTTTCAGGCTGCTTCTCGTTGGGTGTAATCGAGCGCACAAAGTCCTGAGGTGTCATGAACACGTCCGACTCGCCGCTCTCATTGTAAATTTTAAGCGTTGCAAAGTAGCGGAAAATTTTATCTGGCGTCGAGAAGGCCCGAATGCGGTTTTCGTACTCGATCACCTGGAAAGAAAGAGGCAAACATCTGACAGTCAATTACTTTTCACACGTAAAATTCACACCAGCAGGTTTTGCCTGTACGGTATACAGAGTTGATAAATAGGCAGAGGACATCACAGAACAGTGTGAATGACTTGCAAAATAATGTAAACCATGCACTTTTTTATTGCTTAAATATAATTGAAGTAAAACATTTCATAAGCCATCGAATCGCAATAGTGCGTGTGTTGTAGATGCATTATGGGCTTAATGTCTGTATTACTATAAACTAAATTGCCAACTTCAATTCGCTGTACGAACATGTTTTAATTAGCTAATACGATAGGTGACAGCTAATTTAGTTTAAAAAATATAAGTACCTTACTGTACTGCCTGTTGTGGAATGCAACTTTTCGGATATGTCTACATGCACAAAGGGGAGTAACAATGTTATGGAAACAGGATAAAATTGCCTTAAGTAGTGTCTCGGCATGATTTGCAATGTGCCAATTCAGCAATGCAACATTGCACATCCTAATGTGTCATATCATTCAGGAACTGTAGTTAACACGCATACTTTGGTCACATGGCAACTGAAATGTGATGTTGTAATACCAATCAATACATCAATATTAAGCAACTGCAGTTGCCTACTATTCCAGAGGCATAAAATTAAACTCTAGCTATATTCAAAGCTATGACATGAATGTGCTTAATATTACGTGGAGCAAAGTTACTTGATAAATTGGCTAATAAATTAGGACATTTATACACCATTAGATAAAAGTTAAAGACGTTAATGCTATGTGCCCAAACGATACACCATTCAATAATTATTTAAGCCAGGCCTGTAGTAGTAGATTCAAACATTAGCAGGGCACGGTAATGTACCGAATAATTCCACATGTACGTACATACAGTACATGTCCAATTGATATACAGTAACATTGTAGTTCAATCCCCTGCAATTCGACATAGCAGTCAAAATGTGTTGGACAAATCATTTACACCTCTTGATAGTCATGTTACACCTTTCAGGTCTCTTCCCCAGGTACAGTACCTCATGTGTGGAGCAAAATGTGCTCCATGTGCCTGAATACAATCACATGGATGAATGTATTTTAGAGCCTCCAACTTATATTGCAAGCAACACTCGAGACCAACCGTGTGTAACGGTCGGGCCCTTGAACCCGATTGTTCAATTGTTGTACAGGAAAACATTTCAAGACGCTGTATAAGCCTCTGCTTGTAGAGGCAGGATCAGCATGTATACCGATAATAAATCACAATGCAGCGGAAAGTATCCTGCTTTTATAGGACTTGGCAACAATTATCCCCTTTCACGGGGACAGCGGCGAAGGCAGTGGTTGGCGTGCTGCGTTACGAACCCAGCGACCCGAATTAGATTTCTGGTCACAGGTAACATCAGTGGAGAGTTATCCGAACCGGTCCTGGGCTTATCCCCTTCAACCAGCACTGACCAGAATGGCGAGTTATGGCAAAACAAATATACCATTTTCTGACGTGGCATGTGGAGGCCTTTATCAACCAGTGGATTAATGAAGGGACATTAATAATAATGCCCTGTCACTCAGCTGTTTGCAGCCCGACTATAAAAGAAACATTTTGAGAAGGCATGTGCTTGCTCCAAAACCCATCAAATATGATGTACTTACATAAGGGTGAATGCTTTTCGGTACAAACTACATTTAGGTTAAAATGAGGTCATTGGTGTTATTCAGGAAAGTGCTGTGGCCATAAACAGCAGCTGATCAAAGTGTATTAGGTAGAGCACACAATTGAGTAATTGGTCATTCCAGACAGACCTACATGCTTAGCCAGGTTTCCCTTAGTCAGCACAGACTGAATGAATGACCTCAAAGAGACAGCCAATATACCACGACGCCAGTGGCTCAATACTGCTTTGCTCGTGTGGTTGATAAAAACAAAGCTCTCAATCCCAAAAGAGACGGATTACAACGCACCACGGTTAGGTTGTGCGCAAGTAATCACAGTTTAAATATATAGAGTTCAGGTTTAAAAAATGAAAAATAATGAAAAGCATAAAAAATGTTGTAAATTTAGGCTCACTCTTTTCTTCCCCCCCCCCCCCCCACAAAGATTTTTGGCCAATTTAGATTGAAGATTTTTTGTTATTTGTGCAAGGCAACAGCGTGTATTAGCTACTTTGAATATCTCAAAAGCTCTCACATCCACAAGAACAGATTCCTCTTGCAATGGATGAGCCGAATATTGTTTATGTTATCGCTTCTATTTTTCATATTAAAAATATAATTGTGTTAGCCTAAAGCAAGCTGTGACAAAAAATCTAAGCCGATAATGATAATGCGCTAATAACCACACGTTTGACACTATGCTGGTAAGCCAGGCATGAACATGCTCTCATTGTTTTAATAAAACAGAAATTACAGTATGCATGTTGTTTACAACTGGCATGCTGTGAGAAGATTCCAGAAAGTATTAATTTAGGAAATGGCTACACATTTTAATGGTTAAACTTGGGGATATGTTTAGAAATTATAAGTGCCAAATAAATTATTACCCAAGACATCTTCATATTACTGTCTAAAAAATGTGAAAAAAAGGACACGGTCATCTATAAAGAGATTTAAATTACCAAATTTGCTGCTAACATATATTGCTACGACGCTGTCTGCGACAGATGCTCTTTGAATTGTGGGGAAAATTTAAAATGCAATGCATGACTAGAAAAGAACATTGTGTAAAGAGCAGCATCTTTATTTGTTACATTTAATTAATCAGCGAAAGAAAACATTAGCTCAGAATTGGGGCAGTGAAATCGATTTTTGTCACCACAATATATGGGTAATATTGGCACAAACCGTACTGCAATTGTACTTGAGGAATATATGTCCAATGAAAGCCACACATGACAATGAAATTACCTGAGTGGCACACCCCAATCATAAACATGAGGTTTTTTGGGTTAAAAACATATACATTTTAATGTAATTAATTTAATTTGTGGAAAACACTAGCCCTATATTTTAGGCTTTTAATTCTGAAACTTAAAAACTCTTTGGAGCCCACTCAACTTGAGTAATAAATCCTAGTTCTCTCCGTTTATGCACATTCATGTAAATTACCAATTCACTTTGCCGTCACATTTGCATTGTTTTTATTTGATGTACTTACATACCATGGGATTATACTCATGTACCTTACCATACTACTTTATCAAGAGAAGTGCATCATGACCCAATGTCACAGACGAATTTGGCAAGAATGTCTGCAATGTCTAAACTTCCCAACAGCAAGTGTAAACCACTTCATTGCATCGCGACTTAAAGCTTTTGTGACTGCAGGAATTCATTCTTTGGGTCTTTCGGTAAAGTCACGTAGAGAGAAAATAACTAAATAACTACTACATTTCGTGATCGAAACGTCGTAGTTGTTATTGTTATTCTCTTTGAACCCAGCTACGTGACTTTACCACAAGACCCAAAGAATGAACTTCATTGCAAACAAGCTGCATGTGGTAAAATACATATTTTCATTTAAACAGCAATTTAAATTCTGTCAGTTTTCAACAGCGTTTTGCATTTAACAGCTAATTCCAAAGAAAATGTTAACAAGTATAAAGCACATACTTACACCTGAAATATTTTGGATGTAGAAATAATTATTTAATATTGAAGCACTACTACACTATTATATATGCATATTCTATGTTTGTTTACTGCAATTGAAATATATTCACATTTTTCTCCTGAAAGTGGCATTTTATTAGTTTTGGAAGGTCAACAGTTTCCATGTTATAAATCATTCTGAACAGCTACGTATAGCAAATATTAGAACGTGTTTATACGTGCATGCCTTTACGATATTCATTTATAACAAAAAACATTTTGATAGAACTCTTCAAACATGTAACCCTCTTTGGGGTAGAAAAACATTCAATCATCTGAACTGCAACAGCTAATACCTATAACCTTGCCAAAAAACAGCACAATCACATTACTGTATTTCACTTTTTTCCATTTTGGAGAAATGTAATCAGGATCAAATTAATTACTGCATTATAATCTGAACCAATTTAATGAGGGTAGTTTTAGATCAGTTATTCCTACCATTTCTCTAAAGGGTTATCCTAGGGAAGGTATTCAGAAAATGAAAAAAGTCTTAGAAAAATATGGCAACACCATGCAGCTCTAAAAAAAAAAAGATTGTGCTTAATTATTCATATCCCTGTAGGACAGTGTTAGGAAGCTGAGGCTTGATTTGAACTTGCAAACCTTGGAACAAAAAAAAGTATTTTCCAACACTCAAGATTATTATACAAATAGTGCACACTTTAAATACAGTAAAAGGGAAACAATGCAGCACTGCAGAAATCTAAAGGCTACCGGTACTGTCACTTCAAACTGTGGTTTGATTTTATAATTAGGGCTTCTATGGTTTCCCCCCAAGCGGTTTGTGCTGTTACGGTAAAAATAGGACAAGGAGGGCATGCTGCATTAGCCCCTTTCTGGTTCGCCGGTATATTTCACCGTGAGAAGAAAAGGGGGTTTAATAGCTGCAGTGTCTGTAATGAGTGCATTACAGTATCCCGAGGGCTGAATTGAATAGCAGGGAGTCCTGAACCATTTGACCCGATGGAAAAACTGCAGCGCTGACAGGATTCGCTGGTTGAAAGAGGTGAGAAAGAACAGGATTATTTAAAATCAATGTTTTATTTGCTGTAAAAAGCCAGCACTATTTATCCATTATAAAGATAAATCAAATACCTCCATACCTACCTGTCTTTCCTCAGGTCTATTCAAAAGTACAAGTTGGCTCATGTTCTCAACCCACAAGCTTGTTCAGTACAATTTGATATGCAAATAATAAAGTTTAAGATTCTCCATGCACATCTACTGATTAACTGTCTGCAATGATCAATCCACTCCAAGATGTACTGTAATTGGTAGACCTACAAAGCTGGAGAATTGTCGATGACAAACATGTAATGTTTACATTTTATGTGGAACAGTAATTATGTTTGATTGAAATTGTAATTATTTTTACACGCTTTTATTTAACTCACTGTTGTTGTTGTTGTCGTATCCTTAAATTTTGTAACTCAATTTTAACCCACTTCCCAATGTGGTATCGACTGCAAACTTGGTATACCTATGTCATACTGATGACAATACTATATTCTATCAAAAAAAAGTATTTTTTAACATTCATTTTTATATGTTATGTTTCGGCTTGGGTTTAATTGTCCACGCTTAACTAACGTTGGTTGTAAATCACCACAGTCCCTTACGTTATGGCAAGCTTTGCGGCCACTTCTTGGAGTCGTGGAGTTCTGCCATTACGAGTACGGTACATTTCATTAAAGCATGTTTTTAAAAAAAGTTTTTTAAAAATATTATTACATTGTCTAATGTAAGACACATAAGTAACCAGATAGTGGGTACAAGTTTTATCTGGTTGAACTGAAATTAGTCTCAACATAGCACATATTTTGTCCTTCCACTTTTATAAGTCATATGATATTTACATGTTAAACGTGCAATAATTTCCCAACACTGTATTGTAACACCAGGAGATGGGATGGTAGTGCTATAGGCATTGCAATGTATTACAAACAAAGTAACCCGAATTTCATTCCGGGCCATGGCTAACCATTGGTGGCAAATTATATCTGAACCAGTCTGAGTGACCCCCAGCAGCCACCCACACTGACAAGCAGGGTCAAATATGGTTCAAAAAAAGAACCCATGACCAACACGAAGTAGAGATGCCTTCACCCAATACTGGACTGTTATGATATTCTATGTTAACAGAGCATCATGATAACATTCATAAGATCCTCATGAACAGACAACTGTACTCCAATTTCACCGTTCCTGCTACAATAGGGTAATGATAAATGGGACGATTACTGATAGCGAAAGAACAACATGCAAATGAGATCGGGGAGTTGAATATAATGAGCTTTTCCCCATACATCTTCAGTAAAATGAGGTTGCATAAAGTAATGAAACTGGTGAATGCTTGTCACAACTAATGCTTCACATTTAATAGTGTCCCTGTGGGGCTTACAGGTCAACCGATTTTAGGACACATACTATCTGTGCTCATGAGAAATATATCAATAACCCAAGTGCAGCCAACACAATTTTTCTCACACAGTGTGATAGATGGTCACACGTTTATGTAAACATATTAATCCACAAAATGATCACCTCGAGCACAACATTTTAAACGCAAAAGAATATGAAACGGCAAATATCTGTGTTAAAAGGATTTGAATAAACCGCACGCAGCTAGCACTGTGTGACGGATTGTTGCACGCTTGCATAATTAACTAATCAACAAAATGATCATTTTCACCTTGAGTGTAAAATTGAATCAATTAAATATCAAAACCAACTGATGTTAAACATAATTAAAACCCATATATTTACACGGCTTCATATACTGTATACATCTTAAACCTGTGATGCAGAAATTTAATCGAGAATGTCTACTGCTTGGAAAAATAATTTTAGATAGAGTATAGGGAAATTGGTCTATCAATATTTTATACAAATTTTATGATCAAATCAGTTCCTGCAACACCACATTTGCAAGCTGCTCGGAGCTGTGGCATATGGACAAAAGGGTTCAATGAATATACATATTTTAGTTGCCACCTTTCACATGGTAGCTGAATGTGATTGCACTCATAAACTAAAATAAGCACTTTGCATATACAAAACACGATATCCCATTGCACTGGTGGGTTTTTATAGAGAACAAAATCATATTCGACCTACCCTGCGATCCCTGAAGCCAACCTTCTGTTTTTTCTTCTTGCAATCTTCCTTTTGCTCTGCATCGCTTGATTCGCTCTCTTGGTCCGAAGTCTCAATCGCTCCATTTTTCTCAGTTTTTTCCTTCACTGAACCCTCGGCCTCAACACGCACACTGAGCCATGCACAGCAAGAGGGCAACAACCACAATGCTGATGAATGCCCCATCACAGTCAAGTTAATAGGTTAAGACGTGGTTTCTCAAATGCCATGTTTTGTATCCCATCATGCTGCAAGATTTCAGTGGAATGTGTAACCACTTAAAATCTATTTTGAATGGAGAACATTGGTGAATGTGGACAGGTTGACTGCAGTGGGGGGGGGGGGTACTGCAAGAATAAAATTTGATGATTCCCTGACCTACTTCATGTCCACAGGACTAAGGGGGGGGGGGGGGGGGGGGGTATCGTCATCACACTCTCCAGGATTGTTTTCAATGTTCCACAGTGTGATTTGATAAATGAGAAGTCAAAACAGCATGGCTCCGTGTACTGTATTGCCTTTTTAGGTGCACCCTGCTTCGTTTTTTTCTGGCACCATGCCCTTTGTTCTCATCTCCACGTGTGAATAATGGGAGGAACTACTCCCAACCGTACCAAGCGCCCTTTTGTGTGCCATCTATCCTGCATGTTTTTTTCCCTGCAGGAAACACAATTTTATATAAACTCGAGGATACAGCTGGAGCCAACCCGTTCGACCCCTCCTGTAATGCAACAAAAAATTAAAACATGGAACATTTTAAAATTTTGCACGACAGAACTGTTATTTCCAAAATATTTGGTGAAGAATCTGTGTCACTTATTTTTTGATAGGTATGAACTAAAATCAATACCAACAAGGTTAAAATGATTATGTGAGTGTTTAAAATTCTGCTTCACAACACGATTGCATCACATTATCTGCAGGAGAGACTAAATTACACAAAACCATTGATGTACAAAAGTTATAATTGTTACGTTTGACCATTCAACCTAATATCAAACAACTTATGTATAGAGCAGATCTATAACTATTTACCCTCCCAGCAAATCGTATCGCAATCAGATTCAAGAGTTGACTTTGTAACTGCCACTAGCGGCTGCAGAGGTCATGCAATCTATTACATTCCACATATGAAAATATTATTTCGGATTCTTACACATGGGATTGATGGATGTATCATGAGCTTACGAATCGATAGGCACATCTTTATAGCTCTAATATGCAGCAGAAGCTGGATATAAGCTCATCTACTACAAGCACAGTTCTGGTATAAGCAACACATGCTTACATTACACTGGTGGCAGAAAAGCCAAGGGAAACTTCTGAAAGAGCACACTTCACAGTTAAAGCGTATCCTGCCTTGCTCCCAAGGGGTGTCGTTATATCCAGCATCCACTGTATCGCCCAAATATACGGGGTCTTAAACAACATAACAATTCACGGAATGTTCTGAAAATCTAACGGTTAAAAGTTTTTTTTCTTTATAAGGTCAGGAGGAGCTTCATTTGTATACTCCATCCTTATGCGCTGCAACTAAAATACGCCAAGGTGATGACAACACACTCGGCAAAAATGGAAATGCTGTAGTGGGTGGGGCTCAGCTGAGCCATCGAGATGTATAAATTGACACAAGCCTGGTGCCCGCCCGCCCGCCCGCACGACGATTACTCCTTGAATATGAATTAAACGTGAACGCTATGTCTCTATTAAACATTAAGTTACAACTATGAAAGTTGAGAGGACACAAGTATGACCAAGTTGAAAATGAGGCTGAGACCTAGTTGAGATAAAGTTTGACTTAATGCCTTATTCACAAAGCAGTCTTGTCATCATGAACAGCACTGGCAGTGTTCTATTTGCTGCTGGATGAAGGCCTCCTCACACCATCTCCTTCCGTCAGGTCCTGGAATGCCACAATCCATCTGACTCATCACTCCACCTCTGCGTCCAATACTGTGTTCTCCTAACATGCTTAATTTTGTCTCCATTTATATGCATGCCTTTGTTTCCCAAAAACAATTGAGGTAAAACATCTTGTGTTATTTTGAATAACCTTTACCAAAGCACGTTTTTTCTTGTTCGACTCAATTTCTCACAAGAATTCTGCTAATTTCTTCATGTCATCTGCATACAGCCGTTCCATTTTTTTATATAAATGGCTGCATTATATCAAAACACATTTTATTTCTTACTTGGTTTGTGAGAGCTTAGTTGGCCGCATTAGTTTTCACTCATTGTAATGCATTTACATAGCCTATGAAGCTAAAATGGTAAAGAAACACTTCCTACAATTATTTAAGATAGTCTTTTTTAAATGCAAGAAAACACTGACGCATCATTCCATGAATGCGGTTTAATCTAATTTAACATTTAGTAAAGAAGTCCAGTAGTTTGGCTCCAACAACGTGTCCTGTTTCTTTGGTAATTTTCACAGTTGTATTATCTGGTCCAGGAGCTTTCCTAGTTTTAATGCTCTAAAGGATCATTCACTTCGAGTGTGATATCTGGAACTTCAATATCAAGTTTGATTTGTTTTTTTGCTATCGCGATGTGCAAAAATTTACTCCACTAATTTTAAGATTCTATGCTGATCATTTGTTATCCAAATTCATCCCTAAGTGCTATTATTAATATATTTCAAATCAATCTCCTTTTTTACTGCTTTCATGTTCCCATGGTTCACTATATCTTTAATAATTTCTGTGTTACATTCTCCAATTTCTCATCTCATTCTTTCCAAAATGATACTAAAAAGTTCTGTATATTCATTTTTTTGTGAAGCATATCCAGCTTGCATATTTTTGTCCTCAGAATGTCTTGTGGCTTCAGGTAATTAATTTGTTTTTGCGTTTAACACTTCCTCTAACTTTCAATGCATTATCCATTGCTGTGCTAATTATATAATTAAGTACTGACATTAATTTAATGAGTTTGACTCTGGGTATTTTAATGTACTGCATAGTTTATCTGAAATTGTTTTATTTGAATTCTCTCGTTTTTTACTGTACAGCAATTAGCTTTGTCCCCTCTTTGGTTATGTTGAAATGCCACCTTGCATCACACCAGCCTGTGATCCCTGTGTGGATGCTATATACATTCAAGTTGTGTTGTTTAAATCGAAATTGTATCAGAGGTCAAGTTGACTAATTACACTGGTCTACAATTTTTTAGACGTCTGCTTCAGAGATTAAATGTGCTGTTTATTATGGATTTTGATGTGCTGAATTCAAATATACTGACAAATGAGAGAGCACGACACTGTATGATTTCTAGAGCTGATATGGTGCTATTTGTTCAGCAGAGGGATGCAAGCCTAGTTATCATTGCATCATCCATGACTTCTAGGAATAACATGATGCAATTCATATCATGTATAGTTCAAATTGTATCATTCATTGTTTTGGTTTAACACGTAGGCTTTCGCGACCAATATTATTCATAATAAAGGTTTTTAGGTTAGATCCCGTTATTTATTAATGCGTTGTAACCCTCCACCACCCGACACGGCCAATCAGCAAAAAAAGTGTCACGTTGACAAAAGACAAATAGTTCACTACTTTAGCCCACCGGTGTGTTGAAGAGTGAATCCCAACATTTACAGTTTGAGTACGACGTTTCGCTGGTAATTACATCCAGCATCATCGGGCAATTCGCCAGAATGGTAAAGCCCTCACTTGCTCCCGGTCTTAAATAGAGCAGCAGGGTGATGTCATCATTTAACTCATTTCAGGTGCAGTGATTTGAGGCTGAGGGGGGTGTATTATAATTATATAATCGATTGGTAATCAGTCAATGGTTATGATTAGTAATGAGTTGTAGATTAGTAATTCGTTGTAATGTGTTATTGTGATTATATGCTACGTTAGTAATCCGTTAATTAGTATGTGTTTCCCCTATAAGGAATTGTAATATGTATTATTTAATAATACGCTTCCAAGCCGCACTAAACCTGTAGCTGTCAGAGAGATTAAAGTTATTTCTATTCCTCTCAATTTTAATGGATTCTCTAATTAGTCTTTGCCAGTAATAATCAGTTTTAGACAACACTTCAACGTTATCAAAATCAATTGAGTGTCCTTGTTGACAAGCATGTTCTGCCACTGCCGACAGTTGTGTTTGAGATAATTTAATATTTCTTTGATGTTCTTTTAGTCTTATGCTGATGTTACGTCCCGTCTGTTCAATATAGCATCTGCGACATAAACAATTAATCCGATATACACCTTCTGTTGATAATTTAGGTAATGCGTGTTTAGTGCAAGATACTAGTTTTTGAATTTTGTGTACTGTACCAAATCTTACTGTAATGTTTTGCTTTTGCAAAACACGGGCTAATTTGTCAGTTACTCCTGAGATATAAGAGCACTTGCCTCGAGCACATTAAAACCATCTTTTTGGTTTAGATATGTGGATGACACTTTGGTTGTCTGGCCACATGGTAAAGATACACTTAATGATTTTCTAAATCATCTCAATGCACAAAACCCAGCCATCCAGTTCACCATGGAAATGGAGGTGAATGACACACTCCCGTTCCTAGATATTTTGCTTGGACATGGCCTAAACGGTAAAATAACACACAGCGTTTACAGAAAGCAAACGCACACTGATGCCTATCTGAATGCAGATTCGCATCATCATCCAGCTCAGAAATCCTCTCTTATCAAGACGCTCATACATCGGGCTAAAACAGTGTCAGATGGTGAAAGTCTAGTGAGAGAGATCAAACACGTTAAAGAAGCACGACAGAATGGCTACAATAATGCTCAAATTAACAGAGCACTGAATGCCAAATCACGATCGCAAAGCAATACTGCTGAAAGCGATCAGATTGTTAAAACAATAAAAAATCCATATATCTCAGGAGTAACTGACAAATTAGCCCGTGTTTTGCAAAAGCAAAACATTACAGTAAGATTTGGTACAGTACACAAAATTAAAAAAAACTAGTATCTTGCACTAAAGACGCATTACCTAAATAATCAACAGAAGGTGTATATCAGATGAACTGTTTATGTGGCAGATGCTATATTGGACAGACGGGACGTAACATCAGCATAAGACTAAAATAACATCAAAGAAATATTAAATTCTCAAACACAACTGTCGGCAGTGGCAGAACATGCTTGTCAACAAGGACACTCAATTGATTTTGATAACGTTGAAGTGTTGTGTAAAACTCATTATTACTGGCAAAGACTAATTAGAGAATCCATTGAAATTGAGAGGAATAGAAATAACTTTAATAGCTCTGACAGCTACAGGCTTAGTGCGGCTTGGAAGCGTATTATTAAATACATATTACAATTCCTTATAGGGGAAACACATACTAATTAATGGATTACTAACGTAGCATATAATCACAATAACACACATTACAACTAATTACTAATCTACAACTCATTACTAATCATAACCATTGACTGATTACCAATCGATTATATAATTATAATACCCCCCCCCTCCGCCTCAAATCACTGCACCTGAAATGAGTTAAATGATGACGTCACCCTGCTGCTCTATTTAAGACCGGGAGCAAGCGAGGGCTTTACCATTCTGGCGAATTGCCCGATGATGCTGGATGTAATTACCAGCGAAACGTCGTACTCAAACTGTAAATGTTGTGGATTCACTCTTCAACACACCGGTGGGCTAAAGTAGTGAACTATTTGTCTTTTGTCAACGTGACACTTTTTTGCTGATTGGCCGTGTCGGGTGGTGGAGGGTTACGACACATTTATAAATAACGCGATCTAACCCAAAAACCTTTATTATGAATTCATTGTTTTGCTCAAAAAGCAAGTACTGTCCAAACCCAGTCATAGATGTATTCAAAGATCCAGTCAAAAATCTATTTGTCATTTCTGGTTTAAATTGAGATCCCTACCCTTTATAACTCACTTATCCTCCGTCATTCCCAAGTCAAGGGTCGTATGTATTGACTCAGAAGCATATCTTGAAAACTAGAGCCAATCAACAATTTTAAGCATCATTTTTATTCTCAGTGACCCATAATTAGTAAAGTTGGACTACACTTATTTCAGAAGCATTTTGGCTGTAGACCAGTGTTATGGGAGGTGTGGGATTCTTAGACCACCAACAAATATGTAGTTTTGGACAAAGAAGCAATACAAACTACTGTGTTTATATCATACACGTCTTATAAAGACTAAGTTAAATTGGTTAACTGTATTTAAATCCAATCTCCAGAATGTTTTAATCACATACCTACCAATGGAATCTCTTATAGATATTAAGGATTGTTGAAAGAATAATACCCTCTTGCGTAAAAAATGTTGGGTTTTAATGGACTGCAGCAGACCCCAGTATGTGTAATAATTCATAAGGATTGACTGTTGGGCTCATCATGTTTCTAGAATGCCAGGTAGGATGATCCCGAGTGTCACATTACATGGCAAATCGAAGAAAAAAAATTGTCAGTACAAACGAGAAAAGAACAGGGTTGTGTTGGCAGTGCCAGGCAAGTGGGAATCATTCAACAGCTATGCAAGAAAATAGTATAAGCCTCTGGCTGCACACAACTCACAATATGCAAATGGTGCATTAAATATATTTCCAGGATACAGTAAAGTTAATTTTGTTTTGTCTAACAGTGCTCAACAACGATCTTTGACAAGAGGCAATTCCTTAGTATTTTCTGACATGACTTTACCTCCCAAGACAACACTATAAATATAAATACATACAACAATATATATTTCATATGCATGGTTTACACACAAACTCACTACAGGACCATTTAATAAGCAACACACCACTTATAGGACATGTCACGAGGTATAGCACAGTGGCCCTGTTGACAGTGTGTACTCGTTTTCACACGGGACCGCTTTGAAAATGCATTTCAAAACACAACAAAGCGCACACACACACACATCCACGACATAGAAGTTATTTTCAGTCTACGGTAATTAAACATTTGCTATGAAAGAGTGCTAGTGTTGTCCAAAATGGCATATACATGATAGTTAAAATTTAACAATCCCCATATTGTTAGTCTTAGGTTTGGTTTAGCTAGTGTAATCATGTCAAGTTCAATCGATTAATTGATAAAAACAAAAATTATTGTGCTCACGATACGTGTATTATATCATGCCTGTATCAAGTCATTCTCAAATTCAATTCAAGGACATGTTAATTATATACAGTGAGGGAAAAAAGTATTTGATCCCCTGCCGATTTTGTACGTTTGCCCACTGACAAGGAAATGATCAGTCTATAATTGTAATGGTAGGTTTATTTAAACAGTGAGAGACAGAATAACAACAAAATCCAGAAAAACGCATGTCAAAAATGTTATAAATTGATTTGCATTTTAATGAGGGAAATAAGTATTTGACCCCCTCTCAAGCAGAAAGATTTCTGGCTCCCAGGTGTCTTTTATAAGGTAACGAGCTGAGAGTAGGAGCAGACTCTTAAAGGGAGTGCTCCTAATCTCAGCTTGTTACCTGTATAAAAGACACCTGTCCACAGAAGCAATCAATCAATCAGATTCCAAACTCTCCACCATGGCCAAGACCAAAGAGCTCTCCAAGCATGTCAGGGACAAGATTGTAGATCTACACAAGGCTGGAATGGGCTACAAGACCATTGCCAAGCAGCTTGGTGAGAAGGTGACAACACTTGGTGCGAATTATTCGCAAATGGAAGAAACACAAAAGAACTGTCAATCTCCCTCGGCCTGGGGCTGCATGCAAGATCTCACCTCGTGGAGTTGCAATGATCATGAGAACGGTGAGGAATCATCCCAGAACTACACGGGAGAATCTTGTCAATGATCAAGGCAGCGGGGACCATAGTCACCAAGAAAACAATTGGTAACACACTACACCGTGAAGGACTGAAATCCTGCAGCGCCCACAAGGTCACCCTGCTCAAGAAAGCACATATACATGCCCGTCTGAAGTTTGCCAATGAACATCTGAATGATTCAAAAGACAACTGGGTGAAAGTGTTGTGGTCAGATGAGACCAAAATGGAGCTTTTTGGCATCAACTCAACTCGCCGTGTTTGGAGGAGGAGGAATGCTGCCTATGACCCCAAGAACACCATCCCCACCGTAAAACATGGAGGTGGAAACATTATGCTTTGGGGGTGTTTTCCTGCGAAGGGGACAGGACAACTTCACCGCATCAAAGGGACGATGGACGGGGCCATGTACCGTCAAAATCTTGGGTGAGAACCACTTTCCCTCAGCCAGGGCATTGAAAATGGGTCGTGGATGGGTATTCCAACATGACAATGACCAAAAACACACGGCCAAGGCAACAAAGGAGTGGCTCAAGAAGAAGCACATGAAGGTCCTGGAGTGGCCTAGCCAGTCTCCAGACCTTAATCCCATAGAAAATCTGTGGAAGGTGCTGAAGGTTCGAGTTGCCAAACGTCAGCCTCGAAATCTTAATGACTTGGAGAAGATCTGCAAAGAGGAGTGGGACAAAATCCCTCCTGAGATGTGTGCAAACCTGGTGGCCAAATACAAGAAACGTCTGACATCTGTGATTGCCAACAAGGGTTTTGCCACCAAGTACTAAGTCATGTTTTGCAGAGGGGTCAAATACTTGTTTTCCTCATTAAAATGCAAATCAATTTATAACATTTTTGACATGCAGTTTGCTGGATTTTTGTGTTGTTATTCTGTCTCTCACTGTTCAAATAAACCTACCATTAAAATTATAGACTGATCATTTCTTTGTCAGTGGGCAAATGTACAAAATCAGCAAGGGAATAAATACTTTTTTCCCTCACTGTATGAGATCAGGCACTGGGGAATTTGGCCATTGCCTGAAATTTGGTGCAGTGTTTCAAGCTTTACAACAAAAAAAAACACACAAACATAACAGCTTACTGCTTCCATATGAGGGCAGTAGACAGTGAAGCAGCTGTAGCTCCAAGCGTCGCAGCAACCAATATCCTGCGCACATGAGGCTGCCCCTCCTGCATGCTGTGCTGGCACGTGTAACCACGTATAGCACATGGCAGGACCCGCAAGGCATGGTACACGCGGAGCCTCCACATCGCCATCACCTTGGGAGAGACACAATCACACGGCAGATGTCTTTTGTTAATTCAAGTGACCTATAGTTGGCCCAGCCAGGTGTTGCAATGCTTTCAAAAGATACAGGGTAAAGGCGCAACCCCGTCATTATTTCCCCCTCACCACGCCCGACAGGAGGACCTCCACTCGAGCGGGCTCTAGAAGAGCCTTTCTGGAGGGCATTAGGCTTACCCTTCCACGCTGGCCAGACGTCTTGGAAGAGGTGGCAATACCCACACTTAACCCTCCCACACAATCCTTCCCAATAGATTCAGCTATGGTGTACCCATTTGTACTGCTTGGTGGACTGAGGAGGGGTGGGGTTTGAGTAATGTGCCCATTGTTCCGATGGCCGTGTCAGGAAATTGAATTGAACCTGCGACTTCTAGATTGCAAGTCTAGTCTTCTAACCATTACACCAAGGCAGTATCTTCTCCTTTCATATATAGCATTTAAAAAATCTACTCCATACTGACCAATTAAGCACGCAAATGTAGTATTTGTGCGTGGTGTAACTGTAATTCTATACAGAAGTTCACATATCGGACTTTTTTACATATCCCCACTGAGTTGGATGTGCGACATTGTACAGTATAGAACAAATAACTTTCAAACTAATGCCCCATGGCTCCAGCTCAATGGAGAACAACACATTAGAAGCCAGAACAAGTCAATAGCAACGGTTTTAAAACCAGTGCATTAGATTATGCCACAGCATATGGCAAACAACAGTTGTAAATACCTCCACAACTTAAAAAAAATGTTGAGAGATTTAGTGTTATGCATTTGCTAGTGTATGTGGTCTTGTAATTTGCAGAGCTGGACAATTCCCAGAAGGTACCCCCAATTTCATGATCTAGTGAGGTGTTGAAGTGAGCATTGACAAGGACGTAACCATAGACACAGATTCCCTGTAGAATTGAGTGTGCAGCCACTGGCTGTAAATACGTGTTGGTCATGACGGTAGCTTGGTACTTGCTCTAAATGAAGTTTATCATGTTATAGCAATTATGACACTATTGCCTATGCCTCCCCATTATCCGTCTGTGTTTACAGATACATTTTCTGATTCAAATATAAATACCGTAATAGCCTTTGTCCACCCCGGAAACATTAAGGGAGTATTGGGATGTTTGGCCAATTCCATTAATGAGTGTTTGGCATAAGGGGAGAAACAAACAATGCTCAATACTGATAAATTATAGAATATATTGCTCTCCTGTCAGTGTCTAGGCACTTCACGATCCAAACTACTAAGTCCAGTATTCCCAGGCAGTCTCTCATCCAGTACAAAGTTCAACCCTGCTTACCTTCCAAAATCAGACAATATTTTGCACATTCAAGGTGACTGGTCATACACACATCTATTCATTCGGAAAAAAGAAATTAGTAATAGATTACCACCCCATGTCAATCAACCGCTGGATAAAGGCAACCCAGGCACGTTGGTCAGTATGGTTCGGCAAAATTCTAGAATTACATTTTTGAAAATCCTGATGTAAAACACCAAAGGTGTCTTGATATCAGCACAACTGTCTAACATTGTATTATACTGTATTTACCAAAAAAATACCAACTGCCCTGCTGTATTCAAACACTTTTGTGAGCTAGAACCTACAATCTCACAATATACTATTGCACTCAACGAATTGACAATTAATGTACACTTAACGTTTACCAGCTAAACCGAGTTCAAACCAGCACTAATCTACTAAAAATGTGCTTGTGCGTGCCTGTCCTATAAGTACTCTCCTGGCAATCATGCATTATTTATTTAATAATGCAGTCCTTTATTTGACCACATGATAGCCTTAGAATACATATGTAGTGATCGACTCAGAGACACTAGGAGTAGGAGGCGCTCACTCTATTTATTAACAGCCTTCACAGTTCACAAGAGGTAACTACAGCTCCCAGTCAGGACAGCTGGCAGGCTGCCTGACTGACGACGCCGAGAAGGTGAAGACATAGATGGCGGTGAAGACGTAGATGGCGGCGAAGACTCAAGCGGCACGATGGGATCCCACTCCAGGCAACAGCCCCGAGCCTTTGCTCGGGGTCCCCCTTTTATCCTTCCAGCGTGGCCTCGCTCTGCCCCCGTCCCGCCCCCCCCCCCCCCCCCTTAGAACCTACCAGCGGGTTCCCGGGCTTCCCTCACGTGCCTCCTTTGTAACCTTTCCTCTACATCCCTCTCTCTGGCTTATCACGTGACCTGCTGTCAGACAGGGTTGCAGCAACTGCAGATCCCCTTCTCTGCCAACAACCAGCGCTATGCTATGTAGTGACCCATTCCATGTCACTACACATATATATTATTTAAAAAGAGGACCTTCAGAGATCACCCAACATATCAAGGGAAAAAGAGACAAAATAAGAATGCAATTTTACAAGAGAATGGAGACAATAAAACGTGGCATTTTCTAAAATATATGAGATCAAAACAAATGTTGCAAACACATTGAAAATAAACTTTATAAAGGTTGTGGCCGTTATGCAATGGCTTACAAGTGCCGAGATTGATGAAAGCATATGAATCATCACTGTCGAGGTGCTTAGGACATAACACATCTATAAACAAAATAAATGTAATTTTAAAACACGTGCGACTGCACGTATCATGATGGAGTGGTTGGAGGTCAAACAGTGTTAAGATAACAAAAGGGGTTCCACAGGGTTCCATCCTCGGCCCCCTCTTGTTCTCTCTTTATGTCAATGACTTGGGCACCGACTAGGATCATTCCAGGGTAAATCTTTTTGCAGATGACACGATACTGATTACTGCTGGCCGCTCTATGGATGACGTGATTGCTAAGCTCCAGGGTGATTTCAACAAACTACAACATCAGCTAGTTGCTCTTAAACTAGTCCTGAATACCTCCAAAACCAAGGTGCTATGCTTCTCACCAGGACTAAAGCAGGAAGTTATTTTTCCCCAATTACCTTCCTTAAATAATTATCAAATAGAGCAAGTCAAGATCTATAAGTATCTTGGGGTCATCCTGGATTCAAAACTGAATTTTGAAGATCACATTGATTATATTGGTAAAAAGACAAATATAAAAATTGGTTTTCTGTATCGACACAAGCACTGCTTCCCCCCAATATTCCGTTTGGAATTGATAAAAGCTACCATACTGCCTCTACTTGACTACTGTGACATCGTGTATAAATCAGCCCCAAGTACTGTACTGAAGAAGCTTGATTCCATCTATCACTCGGCCTTAAGATTTACATTGAACTGCTCATATAGGACTCACCACTGTGATCTCTACATTGGGTCAAACTTAACATCTCTTAATGTTCGACGGCTTGTGCACCAGATCTTATTTATTCACGATGTACTTACAAAAAAATCCGCAGACTACCTGCTGGATCTCCTCTCTGTTACAAAGAACAAATTTGACCTCAGGTCTTCGCTCATTTACCAGCTTCACATTCCCTATTACCGTACAAAAACCGGAGGAAGGGCCTTTGCTATTGATGCCCCCAGGGTCTGGAATGCTATTGCCAATAAACTGCAACTTGAATCACTACCTACGAAATCTTCACTCAAAACTGCTCTCGAGGAGTTGTACACCCCTAGCTGCCACTGCTATTCAGTGGCCTAAAATATGGCTCTAGGGTTTGGTGTTACATGTTATTTATGTAGTTTATTGTAAAAAATTCGGTCAGTCCCTATGATCACTGTTACATTGCATTTATGGCTTTTATTTTGGTGATTTCGAAAACGTGATGGCCTTAATCTTAGTTGTCTTGTGGTTGTTGTTTGACTTGCATCCCACTGGGATTTTTGCACACAGCGTTGGTGTACGGTGCTATTTCAGGAATATTTTGATGTTTTTTTCCTGGATTTTGTTTGCACAGTCACATAATCACTTTAAGATGTTTTTCTTGTTCATGTTTTTGTTTGTTGCGGTTGCACCCGATTCAAGAGCTGAATGGCTCACAGGGCTATACCAAATAAATGGAACTATGGAGTGGGCCCCACGAGCCCAATTGAACACTGTCCATTATTTGTCAAATTTCTCACAGTAGCCTAGCTTTTAACTCTCTGATCGTCATCAGGCATAATAAATCCACTGCTGGATGAAAGCCTTCTCCAGCCGCCTTCACCTCTCACGAGTCTGCGATGGCAACATTCCAACCAGAACCTGCACAATTAACTGATCGAATCACTCCAAGCTTTACAAAACGTCATCATAAAAATGCACATCACAGCACTGTGCATTACGTTTGCGAAGTGTTTCAGGTGATAATGGCCATATAAAAACTGTACCAATAACGTTGAGTTTATGGGGGTTTGAATTCTGGTTTCCGGGCAACTTGGGTTAATCCAGCAGGGAATATTAGTTATACGAGTCCATATAACGTTATATAATCAACATGTCATTATAGTTGTATATTGGCCAATAACAGTACGGTACATCTTCTTTGGTTCTTTCGGTAAAGTCACGTAGAATGAGAATAAAATAATAAATTGATAAAATAAAATAACACAATAATATTCTCACGACGTTTCGGCCACAACACAAGCGGCCTTCATCAGGTGAAGGGGGCGAGACTGTCTGGTAGGACAGCGCTAGGACAGTGCTGAGAATATTATTGTGTCATTTTATTTTATCAATTTATTATTTTATTCTCATTCTACGTGACTTTACCGAAAGAACCAAAGAAGATGAATCATTGCAGTCACGAAAGCTTTAAATCGAAATTTACCAGTGCGGTACTGTATGAAATGTATGAACATCAGTCAATACAGATCACACAGCAGGCCAGATTGCCTCTCGGAGGCGCTCTTTACAGCCCTCTAATCCGATTCGATCGCGAAAGCCCTTCGGCGAGCAGTGGAGCGAGCACGCAATTGCAGGGCTGCCCCTTTAACCTACATTCATCCATCATCATCACAATCCATGCAGATAGCCCGTGGGTAGTCCACTGCACATTTTGTCATTAGTTTCCACTTTCCTCCGACTTGTGCCAATCTGCTCAAGTAGTGCGCACATCTTCCTGGCACCAATCTCTTACGTCGTGCGGGAGTTTACCTCCCTTACCTCTACAGTAAAGGAGATAGCCCAAATGCGGTACCACTAGAATTCATACTAACGCTTATTATAAGTTGGTAACAAGTTCAATGCTACCAGCATACATCAACACACGCGCGAAGCCAAACGCAAGTAACGCTGTACAGTACAACAGCGTCAATATGCACCGCTGCATTTGACTTTACGCGCCTAACGAGGACTTTCCCGGCTGTGATCGGGCCTTACATGACACACAATATATATACACACACAATACACGCGGATACAACGAATCGATTGAAGTAATCCACACACCTGATGTGAAACATCGCGGTTTTACTCTCGGGCGCCAACGACCGCGAAGCGATTCCCGGAGCTGGGAGTGAAAACTAATGCCCGCGCCGTAGACTGCTAAAACGAAAGGACGGCAATGGTGCGACACGAAGCATCTGTGAAGTTTTTGTTGTTGCTGACAAAACTATATACCGTATCTCTCTCTCTCTCTCTCAAATTCTTACCGTAGCCGAGGTGCGGATGGGAGTTGTTTCCACTGTAATTCCGTTTGCGTGAGGCGCGCATGCGCAGTTGCGGCTACGCGACGCCACTTGAGCGCGCGCGGGGGTGGGGGCTGCAGATGGGGGGATCGCGAGTGGTGGCTGCGGGGTGTGGCGACGGGGGCTTCCTCCCCCCCTCACCCGGTGGGGGCTGCCCCGCCCCCTCCCCGGTGGGGGCTTTCGTTGATTGGGATCCCAAATTCTCAAACAATGCCAAAAAACACATTTTCTGTTGTGATGGAAATGTATTTTCTCTCTCTCTCGTCATTTACAGATTTCATCGATGGCAGATTCTGCAACAGACCTGCACTCTACAACATAGATGAACAAACAACATGTCTCATTCATATATCTGTCTCGCTATATAAAATGTAAAACATTTTTTTTACACAACCCATCGGCCCAACGGCCTTCTGGGAGTGAATAATTTCAGCAGTACTGGTTAGTAATGTATAAGCATACGGTGTCTCGTCAACAGTGCCGGTGAACTGCCAGATGTTATATGCAAAAACCCTCTCAGATATCGGACATAGTTTGATGACAATAGGTGAGGTAGTCTATGGGCCAGGTTAATCGTTCTTGGGTCAGATAGTCTATGGCACACATAGTAATTGGACATTCTTTGGCAAGATATCCTATCTATGGCAGTGGTTCCCAATCTGAAATTCACATATCCGTAGTGGTGTTCAGTGCCAAGGGAAGTGCACAGCGAACTCTTGCAGATACAACACTGTACTATAGTTTAGAGTAATGCAGTTTTACTTTTGATCATGTTATTGGTACATTATGGTCCGTATTTATTTTTTCTAGGCTTGATAGTGGTAACTTTTTTTTTACTGTCATTGTATATCGGTCCAGAAAGGTTGGGAACGACTGATGTGTATATACGACAGATAATTATTGGCATTAAAAATAGATATACTGTGGTCCAGATAGTCATTGGGCCACATGGTCACATGGGTTAGATTATCCTTCGGTAAGATAGTGCCAGATCATAATTATGTTCAAGCCTTGGTGCAAAACTTTAGTGGATACTAAAATAAACAAACGTGGGGTTGTCTCTGCTTGTAGAAATACAGTACATTTTTGAAAGCGCATTAGTCCATGTTTTTTTTATTTTGAAGACAAACAGTATTTTGTACTACAATCATCATTAAAGTCTTATTTATATGTATAATCCATAGTTTTCAACAATAGTATCAGTTTATTTTTTTATTGATGCTAGGCATGTAGAGATGCATCAGTTTGTCAACTGAATCTCACGCTCACCATGCATTGAATTGTGCACGTGAGAGTGAAATCTGATTGAGGCAAATGTTATTTAACTGAGAGGCGAATGTTACATTTAGGACAACGGAGTTGAAAAACAACCGTACAAGCAAGTAAAATCTAAAATCAATACGAAAATAGTAACAAAAAACTATGTTACTATTTGTTACTATATATAAAAAAAAGAATCCACACCAAAATCGCGGCAATTCATTACTCCTTTGCGGGAATGAATTGCTATGTGCTGGCTGGATACCGATCTTAGTCTATGAAATTTAACTTCTGTACACGGAAGTGATAACCTACCACTCTTTTTTCTAAAAGGATGTCACATCACTTTTATTGGTTACGTATATAAATTGCAACTGTTAAAGTTTTTGTCACAGCAGATGTTATCATCTGGTCTGAGCCCAAGCACTTATTCATTATGATTTAATTCGTATTTCACTCCTCGGTTGGTGCTACTGGTTGGTGCGGTGTGCTGTATTTTTTAAAAATCTGCATCCGTAAAACCCTAACATTTGTGTTGCGATGCCCGTTACACGAACGTACAAGTATTGAATGAGGAATGTATCAAGATGCAGGGGATGGGAAGCTAAACACTGCACAATACACGTATGGTATATTTAACATTTAATTTTTAGTACAGTAGCAGTTGTTACAGTACATTAACATGCCCTGCTTGTTTTGCCCCAAAACACGCAATGCAAAATTACATACACAAAACACATTCATATCGGTTATAAAATAAGCATTAACAATTAGTGTAATACAGTACTGTGGTAAGGCTGAAATACTGAGTGATATTGAAAATGATCTGTACCCTGGATACGGTGGTCCAGATGTATTGTGACCCCCAATTAATTGACCCCTAGTTTTTTTACATTGCATATTCATTTCTATTTTAAATAAACCTTACTCTTAATTTTTTTTACGTTTCACAGAATTAAATGGTCTACAAGACATCTAGACCCTATTCAGCAACAGCTCTGATTAGTGAGCTGAGGAAATGCTCTTGGAACGCATAATTGAGTGAATACAAAGGATCTTAATGGAATGGCAACATTATTATAAATCAGACGTGCCCTCGAGCTAAAAGCTGATTAATGTAAAATTTTATTGTCATCCAGTTAATTTAAGTATCCAGATTCGTATACTGTACGTATATTTCCATTGGGAATGCGGTACTGTGCAGTAACGCAGCAGTTCACAACAGGGGAGATCCTCAAAATGTTATATACAGTACTACTTTTTTACAGTATAGCAATCATCAATGACAATTTTATGAATTTAATCTGCATGACATTTTTATTTGCTACATTTTTTAAGTGCACGTACCAGCACTATGGAAGTAACACAATACATACGCTTGGATTGCGATCCATATTTGGAATTTGGAGTTATTCAAAAATGTAGTTGGCCTCTACTGGAATCATGGGCTATGGGATGGTGATACTTTCCCATGTAGAGACTTAGATTACGGTATATTCTATTGCAAATGAGTAGAGTGATTTATGAAATGAATTGTGAAAAATACTAATGTGTGTAATGAATTCCCTGAACGGCTGAAGTTATTAAGGTTAAATTTTCGGTTCTGTGCATGCAAGTGGTGCATAAGCACCGTCGTTTATGTGCAAGTGAACGGTCATTGCCTGAAAGGTTACCCTCGTAAGTGAAATCATTAAACTCGATGAGTTCCTATCGGCTTCTCACCTGCTAAAAAGGACTTGAATCAAAATGACAATAACCAATAACTGAGACACCCCATCGGTGCACGTATCTGCTGCTATATATATTTTTGCTAAAGTCAAAATAACTTCACACAGCTTCAAAGTACTGAACACAAATGTGGTAACCGCGAGGTTCATTCTGAGTTTGTTACACAAAACACGAATGGTGGACGAGGAAAATCAAATGTCACAAGCGTTAGAATACTTTGGACCGCACCCCGATTGGGAACTTGTCTAACAACAACCACACCTAACTTACATTTTTTTTTTAGACTTGAAATTGTTTCACAGTGACGACGGGAAGTTTGTACAGTGCTCACAAAGTAGCATTGTTCTCAGCTTGGGACACGTGGAACGCTGAGGCTTTAGGAACACAGAATTACCGTATGATGAGTTTGATTGATTTCACCTTTCTGTTCTAACCTGATGCCACAAACGGCGTCAACACTTTTGACACCGTGCTACAGTCGTGCAAGCGTGAACGTCAGACGACAGGGTGGTCCAGATGTCTTGCGATCCCCGATTAATTGACCCCATGTGTTGCCTTTGCATATTAATTCCTGTTTTAGATACATTTTACTTTACAAATACAGTATTACGTTTTAGCCGATTACATTTGGAGGTGACAAGACATCTGGACCACCCCCGAACTGTAATTCACATTCGCCTTGAACAATGCAACTTTTTTTTAAATCCACAGGCGACCATGCATGTGTAGTGGAATAAATAGGCGCATGGGGGTAATTGGTGAGATTGCGCAGGAGCAGGGCAGTAGGGGTCAAATTGGGACGAGGAGGTAACGATTGGGCCAATTAAGCTGGGGGGGAGCCAAGGACGGCTGTGATTGGCTGGTGTGGTTGTCAGGGCTGGAGTGTGATTGGCTGGTGTTGCTGTCAGGGCTGAGGTGGTGTCTTGAAGTCTGGCGAGGTAACACGTGCACGGGCACGCGGAGAGTTGTGAGGACGCGGGTTAATTAATTGGGGTGTGATGAGAGCGGGGATAAATTGGGGGAGACGGGAGGAGAAACGGGGAGTTGGAGTCGGGGGCTGGACGTGGAGCAGCTGAAGAGAGAAGCAGCTAGCAGTAGAGAGAAGCAGCTAGCAGTAGAGAGAGCACAGTGATAGCGAAGAGCAGAGACGAAGCAGTTAGCAGTGGAGAGAGCACAGTGATAGCGAAGAGCGGAGAGCAGAGACGAAGCAGTTAGCAGTGGAGAGAGCACGGTGATAGCGGAGAGCAGAGACGAAGCAGTTAGCAGTGGAGAGAGCACAGTGATAGCGGAGAGCAGAGACGAAGCAGTTAGCAGTGGAGAGAGCACGGTGATAGCGGAGAGCAGAGACTTAGCAGTGGAGAGAGCACGGTGATAGCGGAGAGCAGAGACGAAGCATTAGCAGTGGAGAGAGCACAGTGATAGCGGAGAGCAGAGACGAAGCAGTTAGCAGTGGAGAAAGCACGGTGATAGCGGAGAGCAGAGACGAAGCAGCCAGCAGTGGAGAGAGCACGGTGATAGCGGAGAGCAGAGACTTAGCAGTGGAGAGAGCACAGTGATAGTGGAGAGCAGAGACGAAGCAGCCAGCAGTGGAGAGAGCACAGTGATAGCGGAGAGCAGAGACGAAGCATTAGCAGTGGAGAGAGCACAGTGATAGCGGAGAGCAGAGACGAAGCAGTTAGCAGTGGAGAGAGCACAGTGATAGCGGAGAGCAGAGACGAAGCAGTTAGCAGTGGAGAGAGCACGGTGATAGCGGAGAGCAGAGACTTAGCAGTGGAGAGAGCACGGTGATAGCGGAGAGCAGAGACTTAGCAGTGGAGAGAGCACGGTGATAGTGGAGAGCAGAGACGAAGCAGTTAGCAGTGGAGAGAGCACAGTGATAGCGGAGAGCAGAGACGAAGCAGTTAGCAGTGGAGAGAGCATGGTGATGGCGAAGAGCGGAGACGAAGCAGCCAGCAGTGGGGGAAGCACAGAGACATCGGAGCTGACGGAGAAGTGGAGATCGGAGAGACAAAGGCGGCGAGCGAGCCGAGTGAAGCACGGCGAGAGAGCTGTGGCAACAAGGGAACTGTGGAGCATTGAGGACATGTGGAGAACTGTAAATAAAGTGGTGTTGGAAGAAGGACAAAAGTTGTCTGAGTGAAATCAACCACTACACATGTACACGTGCTTGTTAGACCCAATACTTTGACGTCACTAACATAAACATGTACTGTATTGGACTATGCTGCTCCTAAACCTTGCGACATGGTATACTTTAAGTAAACAAAGCGTTTGCTTTCTCTCCGGCAAATAAATGCTGCAGCACATTCATGAGTTAGAGTTCATTGTGGCTACAGGAAAGCACTGTACAACAATTAAATATGGTTGTGTTTTAAATTTAGCACGTCGCATAAGTAGCTGTCGATGGCATGCAAGCATGTTCCATATTTAGCACAAATGGCACGTAAGTCAAAGCGCTTTAACTTAACACGCTGAAGCAGGATGTAGAATATCCCGCCTGGAAAAAGATGAACCCCTACATTCCATCGCCTTGCATGGAATGCCTTCTACCTAAAGCTGTTCGTCTTGAGCCAAAATCCATTGTTGAATTGAAAAAAGTCACTTCATTTTGGCTTTACATGCACTAAATTTAATATGAATAAAACATGAACTCTGCTTAGTAGCGGTTGCAATTGTAGAAAGTCATGAAACCACAGCTATGGAAAATACATTGCAATGAACCATACACATCAATTGTTTTGCAATATAGATGAATTTCAGATAAAATATGTTCGACTTAATATTAATCTGCTTCAATTATGCAGCAGTGTTATCAATAAAAACGCACCGCATTTATCAATAATATTGTACTAGGCTGATGGTCTTATAGGTCATGGCCTCGTCTATGCTCTGAATGGGAACTGCTCCAAATGTCAGCCTACTTAAGCACTGTACATATATTGGCACTATGTCAGTGTTACCAAGTGAACCATAACATCACTAAGACATATACGAATAGGTTTTACCCGTTCTAGCAATAAGTAATATTTAAAAAAAAAACTTTTTTTTAAAAACACGCTTTTATGAAATGTACTAGTAATGGACAAACTCCACGACTCCAGGAATTGGCCCTGAAATTTGCCACAATGTAAGGGGACCGTGGCCAATTATAGCCAACGTCAGTTGACCGTGGACAATTAGACCCAAGCCGAAACATAACATATACAAAAGAATGTTTAAAAATATATATTTTTTTCTTTATTATGATAGAATATAGTTTTGTCATCAATATGACGTACGTATAACAAGTTTGCAGTCGATACGATATTGGGAAGTGGGTTAAAATTGAGTTACAAGATTTGAGGATACAACAACAACAGAGTGAGTTAAATGAAAACGTGTAATAAAACAGGCGTTATGATGTTAAAGCATCAAACTGAAACCTTTTGCAAGGAATCATGTCTGCATTAACCACATATACTTGTGGTGAACATGCAAACAAAAAACATGCTCTGATAGTATATGCATTGTCTTTGAAACTGATTGGTCCACACCAGAGACAGCTTTCTTTAGAGCCTAGTCTCAAACAGTGTTAAACCAAAAGACGAACAGCACAAAGACAATGCCACTATCAGGACAATGAGAGCTCGGGGTGAGCAGCTACATCATGGGACCTCCCTTGCCAGTATCATGTTCACCACAAGTATGTGTGGTTAATGCAGACACGATTCCTTGCAAAAGGTTTCAGTTTGGTGTTTTAACATCTTAACACACCTGTTTTATTCCCAGAAAGGGTAAAACCTATTCGTTTATTTTGATACTGGCAAGGGAAGTCCCACGATGATCAGTGAGACGCTTACACCTCATACCTACCCTACCATCATCATGACAAAATCAGGGTTATGTAACTGAGGACCAGGCTGTGCAACCATTGATGATGATGAATTCAATGTTAATGAGGCATGCGGCGAGGTTTTTTGTACAATTGACATACACTGAAAACTTATTAAAGCGACGATTGTACGTTAAACATTATAGAAGCGAATTGTGTACACAAGCTAGTCTTCAGTTTCCAGTAAGTTGGGCGTGTTTGGGAATGTTACGTTGGGCAAGGCGTGTGTATCAAGATTAGCGCGGTTGGCTACGGCCGGTGCGAAATAAGTTCAACATACATACAGTGGAACTGCAGACTAAACCAATAATGGTTGGTATGGTTACGTGAGTATAGTGTTAGTGCCTCCATGATTATCACAACCACCAGACAACAGGCACCCAGAAAGACTTCCTTATTAGGACATCCCATCAAGAAATGACGCGGGCACAAGGAGTGGTCGCCAAAGCCCTAGTCATACAAAAAATAGAGTGCATTACATAACAGAAACGCCATGTGTCCAAAGAACCCCCATCTCACAACGCCGAGTCTGTTATGTATTAGTTTTGCGTTAAACTAGGACCCACATCTAACAGAGAGGGAGAGTCCTTGCCTTTAAACACCTGGCATATCACCAACATTGGTGAAAGTAAACCGATGAGATGGATTGCTGAAAACAAATTGCTGTTACAGTATTAAACTAATGCTGCTGAATCAATGCACTCCAATACCATGTGGCCGATGGGATGTGTAAGAAAAACTTCATTTTTTGGTGGAGACAAATATCAGAACTACAGCAGTAGCCGTATTTTTAACTGATTTTGTTAAAACAGTGTGTGATAAGGTGTGGACCCAACAGAATGTGTGAGGGAGTGGTTTATTTAATTAACCAGGTGAAAGTCTACTGGTGTCCATTACAAGTCTCTCGTTTGTCAGGGAGATCTGGGGATAGTATTAACTTACATAGGAACACATGCAGCTGTTCAGCAACGTGTATATGTAACGCTGCTAACGAATTCTCTAAGCGGCCAGTTGTGTACTATAACACGTATGTGGTTGATTATTTGACAACGGTGACCGCAATGTCGGTTGTTTATTTAAAATGTGTTTTTTTGCGGGCATACACTTTTAATGGACAGGTTTTTTTTTCTTTCAAATGTGGGAGTGACCACAAAGATTTGTTCTGCTCTCAAGAGTATTTTGTTCAGTCTGAGCCTGTAATGATGGATATTTCATGTTCATGTGTCAGAAACTATTGTTTTTGTATACTACTGATATAAGTTGGCTTCAATGTTACCTTCCCTGGGATGGTAACATGATACAACAGTAATGCACTACCAAGTAATTAAGAACAACGCTCAATGATGATGCCCCACAAATGTGGAGGAGTCTTAAAGACAAAGGCAGTTGCTTCTACGTGTGCCAACTTCACCCTTCAAACAAAACCACCCAAAACGTTCAATCTTCGACGTCTTCCAACAGAAATGTCTCCCCCAGTGCACGGCGCCCCATGGCCAAGCTGCCCCTACAACCGCAGTCAATGCCAAGCTGCCCCTACAACCGCAGTCAATGCCAAGCTGCCCCTACAACCGCAGTCAATGCCAAGCTGCCCCTACAACCGCAGTCAGTGTCTTCATGAACGGGGTGGCAGGGCCGGACAACAGCGGCAGGAATCCAACCGAGCGCATCTGTCAACACGCGCAGCAGCCTCGGGGGTTTGGGGGTGGGGGTTGATTCCCCCCCCCCGCAGTGGGCGTGAATTACGGGATGCCACCCACAGCCGATTGGTCGGCGGCGGCAGAGTGGGGCGGACTCCTCATTGGCGATTGGTTGGAGGGGTCGCCAAGAGGAGGGGGAGGAGAAGTTTTGGGGAGAGGGCGTGGCGAGTCGCAAAGTCCCGCCCCCCTCCACCCGCGCTACGTCTGCATCGTGACCCCGCCTCCTACGCCCCACACCGCGGCGTGGCCACGGCGGCGGCAGCAGCAGCGGCAATGGCGGCCGGAGGCGGGAGATTCCTCGCGTCGCGACTCTCGCTCAGCTGTCGTCGGGCTCTCGCTGCTGCTGCTGCGGACTTCTCGGCAAAGTCGCCACTCCTCGGCTTCGTCCCGCGGCAGGCGCCCATTGTGAGTAGTCAAAGCAATGCACGTTCCCCCCCTACCACCACCACCTTTCCTCCTCATCCTCCCCCCTAAGCCTCTCCCCCTCCCTACCACCGCCTTGCGCTTGCTCGCTCCCCGCCCGCTGCTGCTGCTGCGACTTTCCCTCCAGCCTCTCCCGTTTCCGCGCACAAGTTGTTTGCATGATGTGTGGATGACACCGTGATGAATCGCTGTCGGAAGCGAACTACAGCATCGCCTATGGGTCCCACACACACACACACGCGCGTTGTGAAAAGGCAGTATATGTTCACTGCATTAACAAAAAAAAGCGGTGTCACGCAAGGTCCCACCCCCACTACCACCACAAGAGGAACTATGGACTTCATTGGGGGTGATGCGCCAATAGGGCTCTCAAGCACACTAGTATTTCTTACGGGCCGCTGTTGTTATGTTGCCATGGGGTGGGCCGCCGGGATCATCCTGCACTTTGCTCGTCAAAGGCATTCCCTGTTGTAACCACAGACACTTTTATGCCCCAGCTTTGTTATCCTTTCACCTCACCGACGGGCTTGCACGTCCTCTCGGCCCTTAAAAAAACACAATTTTGTCGAGAGAAGCTGTCCCGAATATCCACCCTGCGTACAACTGTGTAGTAGTGAAAAGGGTAATGCTTTGATGGATTCCAACCGCAGTTATGGGCTGAATTCGTCATTTGGGTATAACCCACCAACCTGCCTCCTAACAGCTGTGGACTATAGTGGGGGTGATATGCCAATGGGTTTCACCCACACGTATTGACAAGAGGGGCTGACTGGCGTAACCTAATTTGGGTACGGCCGCCTGTCAGCTGAAAGGCTGAGCGAGTGGACATGGGCCGTGTCCTCCCCGTGTTAATGGAATAAAGTAGCTCACTTTGTTCCATCACCCACTCTATGTACGCATATTCCACCACCACTCCCATGTTGGCGGATAAAGTAATTGCAATACCACACTCTTCAATCCAACTTCTACATGCAATCACTCCAAACTTGTGACTTAAGGCAAATCTAATAGTGGGGTCCTTGCAACTACCACCTTCCTAATGGCCTCGAGTGGACAGGGTAACGTTGGGGAGTGATACCAAATTAGTGACTGTACCCTGTCTATTATAAGCTATAAGTAATATTAAAAACAACTTTTTTTTAAAAACACGCTTTAATTAAATGTACCGTACGACGAATGGCAGGACTCCAGGAAGTGGCCCCGAAGCTTGCCACAACGTAAGGGGCCCGTGGTCAATTACAGCCAACGTTAGTTGAGCGTGGACAATTAGACCCAAGCCGAAACATAAGATATAAAAAATAATGTTTAAAAATATTTATTTTATTGTTTGTGATAGAATATAGTATTGTCATCAGTATGACATAAGTATACCAAGTTCGCAGTCGATACCACATTGGGAAGTGGGTTAAGATTGAGTTATAAGATTTGAGGATACAACAACAGACAGAGATTCATATTCTTGGTTCTTTCGGTAAAGTCACGTAGAAGGGAAACAATAAAATAACAAAAAAATAAAAATATAAAACAATATATATTTTTTTGTTTCCCTTCTACGTGACTTTACCGAAAGAACCAAGAATATGGATCCCTGCAGTCACGAAAGCTTTAAATCAAAACAAGAAAGTGAGTTAAATAAAAGCGTGTAATAATAAAAATAGATAAATAACACTTCGGTAAGCCTGTCCCCTCCCAGCTGTCGACAGCGTCATTCGGGGAAATGGCACATCACGTCAACTGTGTAGCACCATTCTTGTGATTCAGTTGGCTGTCTTCGTCTCACCATGCTTGATGGGACTTGCAGTGTTTTGTTCACTGGCCGTGCATGGGGTTGAGCCGCATTATTTTTTTTATTTGTCAGTGCGAGCAAAAAGACCTTTTAACAGTTCCATAGGCGCACGCGCAATGTTGTTTAAGAAGAAGGGTTGTGATTTCTCTGGATAGCACATGCAGGCGGGCCTGTGTGTTTTGCTGAGCGCAGTTGAGACGGCAGAGTAAAAAGGGAGTTGGTGATTCATGCATGCACAGTAAAGGGTGTGGTGGAGTGTGGGTGACTGGGCGAACTACTCCTTAGAGTGGAGTATGTCTGCGTTGTGCCGTATAGAGTTCACGCTGTGTTGCGCTCAGACTTTTCGTAAATTGTGGAACCCAGGCTTTTTTCCTTTATGAGCCTCCCAAAGAGTTCCGTTGGGAATTTCTTGTAAGTCTAATAATGTAATTCAATTTGACATGTGAGCAGCTGGGGAACTTTATCCTTGTTTGCACTGGAAGGTGATGTCATTTAATAATGTATCATTAGTGAATGCCATGGTAGTTTTTTTTCCGAGTCACTGAGGTGAATGAAATAAAAACGATGCTTTTATGTGCAATACTATACTGTAAGTGCGGTGTATATGTACAGTTAATTGCGAGAGCTAAGGCGACTTGGCATTTTTTTTATTCTACAGTACACAGTATACCAAATACATCAGCTTATCGTTGGTAAGGTATATCAATTAGGCAGTACAAATTATGCAGAATTTTACCAATTGAATGTAGCTTTGATTTTGAAAAACGAAAACTTGAGTATAGTGCTTAAAATACTTGAATATTTAGTAACATCGAACTATTTATACATATTGAACTGTAATGGCATGGACACGTATCTGCACTGAATTATAGTTTATCGCTTTTGGATGGAGGCTTTTCTGATTTAAAAAAAACCGTGGCTGAATCTCAATAAAGTAAAATACTGTAACTCGTGCGATAGGCTTGAACATGTGGGGCTTTTATCACTTGCTGTCTCGTGAAGGCTCTCCGTGCTGTGCTGTATGTAAACCACAACTTGTGCTAACGTCTTCTCGGTTCTTTCGGTAAAGTCACGTAGAATGGAAACAAAGTAATGAAAATAAAACAAAATAAAATTCTCACGACGCTTCGGCCACAACACAAGTAGCCTTCTTCAGGTGATGGAACAGAACTGTCGGGACGACAGTTTAGGGGTTCCCTCCATAGCAATTAATTGACCAAATGTAAATACGATACTTTCTTTTCTTCAGATCAGAACCACACAGATTGCCAATTTACGGTAATAGTCCATCATTGAGGACAAAAACAAGTGTTTTAAATTTACGCGATGTGCTATTGGTCATGACTTTGTGTTCATTAATAACTAGGACACGTACAAATAAATTAGTTACATTTTACCACGTGAAATAACACTCCTGTAAAAAAACAACATTCACTAGTTCTCAAAGTGATGAGTACCCACCCAAGTTAATTTCTGCAACCTGTGTACATTAATCAGTTGAAGTCAATACCGCATCCTAATTTAAAAAAATATATTTTTTCATTCCTGGCAACGAAAAACTCACATATGCACATGCATACGTACACATGAAAAAAATACGCCCAAAAAAGCCATCCATTTGGTTTGCTGATAATTACTCCTATGAATGTACATGCACACAGTGCTGGAATGTTTTTTAGTGTTAGCACATGCTGCGCATTAAACAGCATATATTATTGACACAATAAACATTATTTCCATATACTCAATGCAAACACTTTGCACCTATGGGGATAGGTGCCTGCTTACGTGAAATATAGCACTAAGATCTTCTTTCTCAGTGCATTTGCTCATTGGAGAAAGTGCTCCTTGAAAAATACTCCTTGTATGCCAGCAGTATTATGAAATGGTCGATGGGCCAGTTACCAAGTTTGACTTTTTTTTATTTTACAGATTAGGATATTACACCCCCATCCATGTCTTATTTTTAGTCGGTTTACAAAGGAATGGCCTATGTCAAAACAATTCTAGAGCTGTGTGAGAATGGGAATTTAAACTCTGTTCACTCAATGTACCAGACCACTGCTTTCCACAGAAATGCACAGATATCCGCTTGGACTAATCTTGCATCTACATGTGGTCAACGGTATATCAAATTACCTTTTCACTCTAAATACTTAGTTTGGCAATTTTTTTGTGTTTTAAAAATAATAACTTTTTTAATTTAACGAATCCAGAATTGTACATGTTACAACTTTTACAGAAATTAGTGGTGCTCACTTTGGCCTTTACTCCACTACACTCAATACATAATTTAACAACTCATAAAGATGTGCATTGCATGTACAAACACACCACCAGCTTGAATAACTGAATGTGAGGCCATTTTGTTGCCTCCATACATGGGGGTTCCCAGAGGCACATGGCAGCAGCAAACATTCATGACTACTGATGTATCCTAATGTTACTGATGTGTCTGTCCTAATGTTGGTTGGCTACATTTTCTCAAGTCTGAGCCAATGGTCTATAATGACAAAATGGCCATGCATTCAGTTCCTTTGAGCTAGTGATCTGGATAAGGCTCGGGCAGTGCACATAGTTGTGTTGTTCAGTCTATTTGTTATCCTGCCTGCACTAATTTTCTGTTTTGATGGGTTTTTCCGCAATTTTAATGATTTTTCATGAACATAAGCATAGAACAGTTTATATTCTTGCCACTCACGATCGCATCAATGTATTTATAATACAATTAAATGTGGTGTTTTTCACATTTATTAGTATTCCATACAATAAATAAGCAAATTGGCAAATGCTTTGACCCTGTATGTTCAACTGACCATATAAGCATTAATTATCACGTTAACTTTATAAACGATACCTTGACCTTTTTATACAACGCAAAGAGAAGTAAAATTAGACTGGGGTACTAAGGTTACACACCAGCCATGGTTGTGCTTACATGCACCTGAAACAAATAACTGCTCATGGGTGCCCGATAAGCTCAGTGCAGTAAAATCTGTCATTGTTGAATGTTTAGATTTAATTTATTTACGGCAATGTGTAAAAGGATGTGTTTTTATCACTTAAATACAGAAGGACCCCCCCCCCATTGTTTTATAGATTAAACTTGACATGAAAACCTTGACAATCTTGTTAATGTTGAGACAATTTTTGATAAAAAAAAATTGAGAGCTTAAAACCTACGTTCGGTTTTTTG